CTTTGTGTGTGTGTGTGTGTGTGTGTGTGTGTGTTACTTCGTTATGCCTCCTCCTCTTTTTTTCTCAGCCTAAGAGGAGGCATAACAACATTAGCACGACTGTGAGCTCTCTCTCTTGCTTTGTTGTTGTCACAGAGCTCAAGACACCGCGCGAACAGGCTTGTTGCGTTAACAACCGTGAGAACAAGAGCCGCTATAATACTATGAAACTCCCCCCCCCCACCACCCCCACATTCCGAAGAGAATGAGGGCATATGAGAGATGAAAATTGGACGCATTTCTTCAGTATATGCAACTCTTAAACTCCTTGCGGTGAATAGTATGTAAATACTAAGGTAGCCAACGATATTTTTCTGCCAATAAATTGGCAAGATAGATGCTTTTTTGTAGATTATCATAATTAGTTTACTGTATGCTTTCGTTAGAGTTTATTTGTTTGGGATGAAATCTCCTGCAAACACATAGTTTAAGTACATCAGAAGGTGTTTTAATAGGTCTATTTGATTTACGTCTCCCAAATCAGAGGTCACGACATCTATGCTTATGGGGCACATCAAATGCAATGGTTGACCTCGCCTATGATCAGCAAGGTGTTAGAATAGGTGATTCTCTTTAGGCTGGCTTCCAAATATACCTCCCCCCCCCTCCCCACACCTACCTCTTTGAACTGCTATTGACACTTTCATTATTGGTCTATTGGGACTTAATTCAATTTATTCTTTAGCTTACTAAGGAAATTTAGCTATAATTTTATTAAAGTTCTTGTAATCATAATATTATCTGAATTGCCTTCTGAGTGGCTATATTTGAGTTTTTAATTAAAGTAAAATGAACTTTATTGATGGTGACTGCAAGCACTGATATGCTCGTTCACGAAATCTAGGCGAGTATAGTTCAGTTACTTGCATGGGAACTGTAGCGGATTTCTACGTTAGTAAAGCCTGGCTTAAGTCTCAGAAACCTTTGTGATAGATTCCCCCAATTACCGAGTCTAGAGAAGCAGAGACGTATAACCGATACGTTTATTCACTAGATACCGAAGGTGAACTGTGATCACGCCGGTAGCTTAATCATGATCAGGATGGCGAATTAGGATAAACAAACAGAGGTTAATGATTGGTCACTGTTTGTACGGTCGCACCTCCCAATCCTGGCGTGCAGGCATGCGATGACGTATTAAGCTATGACGTGTCCCACAGAACTGAGTGGTAAAAATTTTTTCTTTCTAATTTTGACAATTTCCCGGAGATTTGAATTGTGAGGCTCTTTTATATCCACCCACTATTCCATGCAAATTTGAGGGTAATTCTTTTGGTCTGTTTGACCTTTTGAGGTTCTTTTGCTTATAAATAAAAATTTGTTCCGAGCTCCGTAATAATAAAGCAGTCGTAGAAATGGAATTAGTAGGGGATTTTACAAATAGTTCTCTAAAGTAAATTTTAATATATTAAATTGTATCTTGATTTAGATGAATTTACATTATACAATCGGGGTTGACCTATATCAAATCTTTAAAAAATGTACCATCTCAATAGCCTGTTAAAATGCATGCAATTCTCACATTCTCTTAGACTAATTTATCACCGCCTAGGTGAATCGCCTACAACATCCGAATGCCATAATTCCATTTTAATTCAATCTACTTCGTGTTGAAATTACACTGTATTTTGGCTAGCCCATTACTTGAATTAAAAGACACAATGGGCCTATTTTCTTGAATCACGATCTAACTTTCAATTTAAAAAACCCTGTCATAGTTACAGCCTGACTAAAATTGTGAGCCACTCTGTAGTCATCATGCGCTTCTCATATATATTTATCATGCTGTTTTTTTTGACTTACAAACTCACGTGTCATTCGTGTCCAAACAGGCGACTTAACGCTCATTCTCACATTGTGCCTGACTGTCCCACCTTTCTATTTCCCATTCGCTTTAATCCATTCAGATCTGCAAAGTCAATGAGCGCTTAGGGATGATATCGAAATATGAGCTGGACCAGGAGAGATGTGCAACTTTCAATAGCGAGAGGGAGAGAAAGTGGGATGTAAAGACCCCCTGTTTGCTTCTTTGAGTTTTTTTTAGACCGCTGAAAGCTTGTTTAAAGCTTCGTTTTTTTGAGGCAATTATACGGCAAATAGAATTAGATATCGAATTTTCTGAATGAATATCTGCACACCTTAGTATTTTCTTAATTGCATATTAAGGTAACTGTTTATCTTCATCTGTTGGCAATAGGAAGCTTAAATCAAAGAATAGGCCAAATGGAAATTGATTAGATGGCGTCGTCACTGTCAACTGCCTTGCCTACCGAGTTGGTTGTCATTAAGAGCAGAAATTATAATTCACGACTATGGTAAATTCCAGTTTCTGATTCAACCATTGGTCTCCAATTATCTGTTCCCTGTGTACATCGGCTCGTTTCTTTCACTTCCTTGAAAGTGAAAACGGAAAGATAAATTTGACTGCTTTATCATGAGGCTTTTTGTTGAAGCTACTAGGTACCAAATTTGTTGTTATTGTTGGTGGAAATTTTTAACATCACCCCTCAGTTAACTTTATAGACCGGGGGGGGGGGGTGGTTTTTTGTCGAAGTTTCATTCCCCCCCCCCTTTTAACAGCGCGTCAAACGAGGTAATTAAGTATGGCAATCCT